AATACATAGATCACAAGGAACCAAAACTAGAACACCAACATAATAATAATAATAATAATAATTATAATAATAATAATAATAATTTTTATTTAGGTAAGGTACATACATACAATAAATAAAACAATTAAGCAACATCAAAATCTCGTGAGTAAACATGACAGTAATTAAGTACATTTCACCGAACTTGAAAAGGAGTAGCATATCACATAACGAAAATTCCGAGCTTTTCAAGCATATAATCTCTTCTCACAACCAGACCATCACCAGAGAAATGGGGGGGGGGGTAGAAATAGCCTAAGCTACTCTATCCCTTTGAGATGTATTTCTTGCTTATCTCAATAAACATACTTGAACCAGAGAAATCTTAACAAGCTACACAGAAATCATCGATAAATACAGCGATAGCTAGAGACTCGACATCAGCGAGGCACTACACATCAAAAAGTCAACACCAGCAATCAACAACCAATTAATGTACAACTATATTCTACCCACTTCAAGACTCCGAACCAACATGAAAAAAGCAAGAGAAAATATGTGCCAATAGGCCTTCTGCAGTTACTTCCATTCTTATGTTCTCATACCCATTGTTTCGTGTTCTGTCATAGCTTTGTCACCTCACCCAAAACTTTTGTGCCATATCACCTCACCCAAAACGAGTATCAGTATGAAAGTATTTTATGTGTAAAGTAAATCTTTGAAAATGTAATAAGCATTACGAAACGTTTTCAGGCGTCAGACCAGGAATAAAGAATGAATTTTGGAGAGTTAATCTATCAATTACCCTCGACAGTGAAGAAGGATGTAAGAAAATTCGTGTTAGAATTATCTACCCTTTCGGTCATATTCAACTTCATATATAATTGCTGGATATATATATTTATATATGCGCGCTTCCTGTCTCCGACAAAACGAAATAATGATTATTAAATAAAAAATGTATCAGTTATAGGGGCCGTCAGCTTTTAATTTAGTCAGCCTTCAATTTAAAACTAAAGAAAACTAAATTATTTGGGGCTATAAAAGAAAACGATATTTTGAGGAGTAACATTATACGATATAAAAATATGTCGTTACTGAGTATAATACGTTCCTGGTATAATGGCACGAGGAACAGCACTTCCTTACTAAACCCAAAACGATATTTTAACCTGGAGAAATACTTCCCAAAATAGGTAAATTTCGTTACCTTCATTGTGCAAAAGTTTGATGTGCATTGAAGCGATGCAACTCTGGGATGTTGCATCAGATGAAACTCTTGGAGAACTACAGGTCAGGTACCACGTGTGTGGCTTTGTCAAGAAACGTAATAGCTGGATACAGGTCCCTCTTAGTAACTACACAGTATGGTTCACCAAACGCTTTAATATCGGTCTCACTTAACGTAATCATATGATATACATGAGTTTACCAATTAGAAGAACTTTGACGAAATGCCTGTGTAATATTTTTCTTGATATTCTAGCCAGTTCTTACAATTTGACTCTCATAAAACCGGAATTATTTTGCAAATAGTTTAAATATGATTAAATGGCAAAAATGTCAATTATTTTAGTATAATTAAAAAGATAGTATATATTTTTTACTCAGTATTGAGTAAGAATAATGAGTCGGATACTCTTGTAGAAACAGGGATAAGCATAATGTTACATAACCGTTGTCTTGAAGAACAATTAAGAGTTGAATTATTATTTATAAAGTTAATTATTATTTTTCTATTGAGGTTGACATTAAGGTTACTTTGAGGTGTTTTCGGGGCTTCTCCTCCATATTGCTAAGGATAAATTATAAATTATTTGGTTATAGTTAGTTCTATGTGCTTGTATAGTTCAGAAATTTGTTGGCCACATCTGAGTGAATCCCAAAATTAATTTAGCAATTTACTATTCATGTGCACTACCTACATACAGTAAGCAAACTTTAGATATCTAGCTAAGATTTCTGGCAGTGTATATATGAAACAATTTTTTTTTTGAGTCACATGTAACCGAGCCTAGTGTAGCCCCCCAAGTCTCTTTGTGTATGAAACACAATTTTTTTTTTTGAGTTACATGTAATCGAGCCTAGTGTAGCCCCCCCAAGTCTCTTTGTGTATGAAACACAATTTTTTTTTGAGTCACATGTAATCGAGCCTAGTGTACCCTCAATTCTCTTTGTGTATATTCACGAAGTTAGTTTATTTGATCTGACCTTTGTAAAGTATACTTTGTGATTGGTGAAGTAGTACCTGTAGACAGTAGGAGTAGTAGTACCTGTGGCAGACAGGTGTCGGCTGCAACTGACGAATCTCTCATTCCATAGTGAGTCACCCGACACATAGTAGTTGAATACCACCCAAAATACCACCAACTGAAATGATGCAAAGTGTCAAAACCACTAAAGTTGATTACCCTTCCAGTTAAATTAAATACACTTCAGTTTAAAATGTTAATACAAACCTATCGAACGCTATAACTAATAAAATAAGAGGAACAATTTCTGAGGAACGAGTTCGGCGGAGCGATCTGCCAACCAGCAACACATAAACGCAGGCGGCCGCTGCAATTCACACTAACCTCAGTCCCCACTATGCTATGTTTTCTGGGCGCTGTGTGAATTATGAATGTTTTATTGATTTGTACTGTATTGATTTACACAATCTGTATGTACTGTACTTAGGTACAGTACATACGAATTTATGCGACTACCTTAAACTATCCTATATATCCTTCGTTGCAAAGTATTTGCAAAGAACTAGGTGATACTGGGTCCCCCGGCCCGCATCTTGCAGGATGTTTAGCAACAATTGTCATACAGGTGAATGTAATCTGTTAGCCTGCACTAGGGAACCTTTGGTGGTTTATGAGGATATCCTCAATAACACAAGGATGTTTATAGTAACTGCATAGCTCCAGGTACCTCATACCGGCATATCTGAAGGGTCTAATGACTAATATATATATATAGACATATGTCGTACCTAGTAGCCAGAACGTACTTCTCAGCCTACTATGCAAGGCTCAATTTGCCTAATAAGCCAAGTTTTCATGAAGTAATTGTTTTTCGACTACCTAACCTACCAAACCTAACCTAACCTAACTTTTTCGGCTACCTAACCTAACCTAACCTATAAAGATAGGTTAGGTTAGGTTAGGTTAGGTAGGGTTGGTTAGGTTCGGTCATATATCTACGTTAATTTTAACTTCAATAAAAAAATTGACCTCATACATAATGAAATGGGTAGCTTTATCATTTCATAAGAAAAAAATTAGAGAAAATATATTAATTCAGGAAAACTTGGCTTATTAGGCAAATCGGGCCTTGCATAGTAGGCAGAGAAGTGCGTTCTGGCTACTAGGTACGACATATATATATATATATATATATATATATATATATATATATATATATATATATATATATATATATATATATATATATATATATATGCAACAATGATCACAAAAACACTGATCCAAGTATGCAGAATAACCACATATGAAAAATAGAAAATGCTTAACGCGTTTTCGGCTAATTCGCCTTCATCAGAGCAAAGTAGAATCATTCTACTTTGCTCTGATGAAGGCGAATTAGCCGAAAACGCGTTAAGCATTTTCTATTTTTCATATGTGGTTATTCTGCATATATATATATATATATATATATATATATATATATATATATATATATATATATATATATATATATATATATATATATATATATATATATATATATATATATATATATATATATATACTTAAGACAGCCCTCCCTCTCCCCACCCCAGGTCGCACTACAGACCCTTCCCAGGATGCAACACCACAACAATTGCATAACTCCCGGGGTACCTATGTACTGCTAGGTGAATAGAGACATTATGTGAAAGGAAACCTGCTCAACCATTTCTGTACCGCCAAAGATTCGAACCCGGGATTTTCGATTTTAAGTCGAGAACGAACCCAATTGTACTTGGAAGGAAATATTTGAAAATATGGAAAATCGTTCTGCTTGTAAGGTTAATCGGGCCTTGCTTATTAGACCATGTTTAGTGCATTTTACGTAAATCTTACTGTGCTTGAATGTTTACTAATACGTCTAATTTTTAACGGATTGATCGATAATGTTAAAAATGCGATATATTAGGGGAGAGGACAGGCTGCCATAAGGAAGCCTGTTAGGCTATCTAGATCCCCCATAGGTCTTGGGCCCTAGACCAGCAACTGTACGTCCTCAGGATGCAACCCACAACAGTTAGGAAACTCCCGGGAACGTATTAAATCTTAGGTAACAAAAAAAAAAGTGACATCACTTGCAAAGAAACGTACCCAAACTTCTCGTACTACCCCGGGAACTGAACCCTGGTCCAGTTGGCTGTTAGCCTACTGCATAAACTGCTTCCAGATATAAAAATATGAATAATTGAATCGAATTGCTCTTCACTTACACACCACATTTGTTGTAACAATTGGAATTACTTCTAAAATGGCAATGAAGTTGTATTCACTTTTCTCAATGTTGTTTTTTTTACTCCAGCTCAACAATTTTAACATTTTGAAGTTCTTGTTGTTATAATACTGTACTGTTATAATTCTGATGATATTGTTCCACAGGTGTCAGTGCAGTTCTGCACTGTCACATTCCGGGAATGTGAGAGTACAGCAGACATACTAGTGGATACAAATACAGTACTGTATACCAATAAGTCATCCGGTCATGTTTGTTGAGGCTAGCCCCAAGCCTCAGTCCCCAACCTCGAACAGACTACAGGTAGACATTATAGATATATCCATCTATATTATATGTATAGATGGAAAACTAGGTACAGAACAAAGGAGACTTTTTAATATATATATGTTAAACTCTGTGACTTGTTCATAAATTCTATACATAAACGAATATTCGGGGTTCAGTTTGGTACCCATTAAGTACCCGATGTGATCTTACCATCGCCCACAGGTTGGGTATTGGGGATACATACCATAAACAAATTTCTGAACTAGAAAATAAAAGAGAGCATATATGTAGATATTTTTACTGGTATGTCGTTTTCCCTCTACAATATGAATGTGTATTAAAAAGAGATAAAAAAAATTATGTACTCTACACTAGCCAAAACTCTGAAAATAAATTAAATAATTTTTATTGCAGGATGTGCGATTACTAAACATCTGCTTCTAAGGAGTGTTTGAAGACTGTTGAAGCGTTCTCAGATGTTCTGGTATATTGTTAGGCGCACTGTGGCTTTCTCAGATGGAATGTGACGCTCTCAGATGTCCCGTTGCGTCATCATATGTACTACGGCGTTCTCATGTTCTGCAGCGTTTGTGGATGTATTGTTGCATTCTCAGGTGGGTTCTCAATGTACTATAACGTTCTCAGATGTATTGTTGCGTTCTCTAGAAACTGTGATTAAGCAATACGAGTTCAATAAGTACTGATTTAGGGAGGGACTGTGGCGAAGTCATGGGCTTAATCTTCCAGCAATAATGTGCTCAGTTAGTAGCACTGTTTGGAACAACCTAGTTTTCTATTTCTTTGTATTGTTTCCATAGTCGTCTCCGCCTCGGTCGTCGTCACTACTGTGAGGATTCTGGTAAAATTCACCTCATTGATCACATTTATATTAATTTTTAGCCAAAATTAATTTTTTCTAAAATTTTGTTCAGTGTAGCTGAATCTAAAACAATAACAGCCGAATGATGTATTACGGGCTATTCATGCTCGTGCCGCCTCTTGGGTGGCTTAATCTTATTGAATCAATCGATTGATGTACAATTCTCTGCATCTTTCAAATTAGTGTCTAAACCATTTTCCCTGGTAATATAAATTTTTGGTGAAATCAAAACAATATCTCTTAATATGTCGGGTTTTAGCTGCAGCCAGGGTCTTCGCCACACGATTTTATGTCATTGTCCAATGCTTAGATTATCCACTGACAAGTTGCTATTCTCGATTTCGCCTTCAATCGGCAGCTTCTCGTGAAGGAAGACTCGTTTTCCCACAGAGAATTCCGAAGCTGTGGCGCAGTCTCCCTTCAAGACCCATTTGGTGGTGAGCAGACCGTCCATGCCAACAGGTCCCCGGGCGTGGATGCGGGCGGTGCTGATGCCAACTTCAGCCCCAAGACCCAGACGATAGCCATCGGCAAACCTCGAGGACACGTTGTGGAAGACGCAGGCAGAGTCCACGGTGTTGAGGAAGTGGTCGGCAGCGTTCTGGTCTTCGGTGACTATGACATCGGTGTGGGAGGAGCCGTAGCGATGGATGTGGTTGATAGCCTCGTCCATGTCTTTTACTACCTCGATGATACATTCCAAGTCACTGAACTCCATCCTGGTGAGATATTTGCCTATTACATAGTTGACAGTGGTAAATTGTAAACAAATCTGAATATTACTATTTTCATGAACTGCTGAAACTATCATGCGTGAAAAAAAGACAAATTAAGATAATGCTTGGATGACAGATAAACATTAGAATTGAGGGTAAAACGAATTGAGGATAAGACGATCTCTGTGTCGGTTTAGCATAACACTGGGACTCACTTGAAGGTCTTGGCGACGGGAGGTCCGAAAGTGAGCATGTTGGAGAGCTGAGGTCCCGCGTTGATCGTCACGTTCTCTCGGCGCAGCATCTGGCACACGCTAGAGAAGAACTTGGTGTTATTGAAGACTTCCTCGTGAATCAACAACGTTTCCATGGCATTGCAGGCGGACGGGTAGTCACATTTGGCGTCACGCACTGCAAAAGTCATCCAACATCAGACACAAAACACTTATTTGATGTATGTAAAATTTCACTATGTTATACTTTGTATGTTATACTTTGTATGTAGTAAAATACATCATTGCATTTTAAATGGTATATATTGATAATAAAAAATTAAGAAAATCTTAGTGAATAACTGAGAAAACACCACAACTTGACACAGAATCCACTTAAGAAATATATTTATTTAATCTATTTTAATTACCCAGTATATACCAATAGCATACCAATGTATTTATATTATTTTCATTCACGACTTGACAATAAATAATACAAATCTTCAATTTTAGATCTTACCTATTTTAATAGACTTTTCGACGTCAGCTGCTTTGTCGATGTAAACATGGCAGATGCCCTCAGCGTGACCCAGGACGGGGATGGCCTTGGACTGGTCTTGGATGGAGCGCACCAAGGCTGAGGACCCTCGTGGGATCACCAAGTCAATTTCACCTTCCAGCTGCAGTAAGTCAGAAATTTCATCACGTTTCGTCACCAAGGAGATAGCACCAGGAGCACCAACAGTGTTCAGTGCCTCCTTCACCAGATCCATCAGTACTTGATTGCTCTGAAGAGCCTCACGTCCACCCTTCAGCAATAATCCGTTTCCTGTCGCGATGGCTAGTGCAGCCACTTGGGGCAGACAGTCTGGACGAGATTCAAATATCACCAGAAGAACCCCAATTGGAACAGTAATCTGTTTGAGCTCAATCCCATCGGCTATTAAAGTTCTGGAGAGGGTACGTCCCACGACATTCTTAGAATCAGTTGCAATTTGGCGCAACCCATTTGCCAGGTTGTTAAGCTTGGCAGGCGTGAGTCTCAAGCGAGAAGTGAGTGCAGAGGACAGGCCTAATTTGGCAGCTTCCTCGAGATCTTTCTGATTTGCTACTAAGATATCGGGTTGACGAGTCTCCAGGAGTTCGGCAAGAGTGAGAATAGCGCCGGCACGGTCGTTAGGAGTAAGACTCTGAAGAAGGCGACTGCCATGGCGTGCATTCTTGGTCAGCACTTCTACAGCAAGTCCACTGTCATTGTTTGTCGTGAAGAAAGTCCCTATTTTACGACCTTTCACGATACCTCTGATCGCGCCTTGTGACAGTCCATTGCATATTACGACAGATGTCCCTCGATCAAGTGCCCAACTAGCAGCCTTGACTTTCGAATCCATTCCACCTGTACCAACTAAAGATTTCTGGCCAAACTCCAAGCTAGCAATCATATCAGGAGCGAAACTATCAATCAGGCGAGAGCCTTCAATACTGGGAGGCATGTTATAGATGCCATCCACGTCAGTCATAAGGATGAGGAGGTCCGTCTGCACCTCTACCGCCAAGCGAGCGGCGAGGGAGTCATTGTCACTGATGTCCAACTTTTTGGAAACATCTTCATCCAGTACTTGGGGCGGTGGGGTGACGGCGTCGTTGGTGTTGATGATTGGCAAGATGTTGAGAGAGATGAGCTCGTTGATGGTCGAGTTGAGGTTCTGGCGCGTCTCATTGTTATAGAAGTCAGGCTTGGTGATGAGGATCTGAGCCACCCTGACCCCGTACTGGGCGAACATCGCCTCGTACAGAGACATGAGTCCGGACTGACCCACGGCCGCAGACGCCCGCGGTGCCAACATGTTCCTCACCTCTTCCTGCAGCACCAACCAGTAATCATATTAATAACACATCACAGTTTTGAAGATCAAGGAGAGCAGACCCTTGAAGTATGAAGTATGATCATACTTCATAGGATCAATTCTATAGTATGACTGCCGAGTTCCTTGTCCGAAACTCGGGATCAACGGTGTGATTCCTTCCCGAGTTTCGGACAAGGAACTCGGCAGTCATACTATAGAACTGATTAGCAAAAGAACACCATTTGAAAAAAAAGCATTAAGGACTTGTGACATAATTTACAAGAGAAAACCTCATTTATATTGCAAGAAGAGTATATCACAGGAGAGAAGAGTAATGTGTGCGAACCCCGCGGAGGCTGTCCCTGCCAGAGAGGGTCTCGCGCATGCTCAGTGACATGAGCAGCTCCTGAGCCATCTTCTGTGCCCCGAAGGCCACAGCCCCCGAGGTCACCATCAGCAGCTCGTGGCCCTCATTCTGAAGCTCAGCACACTGCAACAATAATAGTCATTAAGTAACTGTTACACGATACTTAATATTATGTACATAATCAAAAACACTATTCGCCGAAATTTTGCAAAATCCTGTACTGTAAGCATTTTGTAATCTTCAGTCCTGCCGGTACTAAACAGTTCACCCACTAATACAACACGATAGAGCGATCTCTATCATTTCTATCTAACACACACCGACAAAACCATGCTTGAAAAGACAAAGATCGCGGTCAGTCAACCCATCCTGTGAGATGGGGAACTTCTTAGCATTTTATAGCTAGCTCTTGACACATACTTCATATAGTTAAGGGTAACTGCATACATGCAAATGTACCTAATTATGATGATAATAAAAATAATTGCTTACCATATACTAATTAAGTAATTATATTAGAGTTTAAACAGGATGGGTCCGAGAACAGAGCCCTGTGGGACTCCGCTGGTGACATCTCGGCACTCTGATGCCTTCCCCCCTCACCGTTACTCGCTGTTTCCTATTGCTTAGATACTTCTTAAGGATCAGTAGGAGGAGGCCTGGTCGAGGAAAAAGAAGACCTGGCCGAGGACCGGGCCGCGGAGACGCTAAGCCTCGAAATCATCTCAAGATAACCCTCAAGTAGTGGTAGTGATCTCACCTGTTCAACGATGGAGGCGAGGCGGCCGAGGGCAAGGCCACAGCCGTCCTGGCGGGTGACGACAGCTGACCCAAGCTTGACGACGATGCGTCGGGCGTGTTTCAGCTGCTCGCGGTGCTGGAAGGCGGCCCGGCCAGCACCCGCCCGCGCGATGGACTGAGAGTCCACATGCAGGCCCTTGAACACGGCCTGTTTGAGAGAGAACATCTTAGATAACAAAAGTTAATCTTAGCCTAACTGTGATCATTAAATACAATAAATAACTTAAGAAATATGTATGTATATATATATATATATATATATATATATATATATATATATATATATATATATATATATATATATATTTCTCTACAATTACGAGACAACAACTGTGCTTGCTGAATTCTGAGCAATATTCCTGATTAAAAGTGTTTTTAATTTAATATATTTACAGGGTTTGGTGAATATGAAGTTAAAATACAACAAAATATATGATTTAGTAACAAAATATAAAATGGCCTAAGCCACCTGTATTTTATGTAACTAAGTAACCATATTTAATATTTAAAATATCCCAAATCTAGCAGTCCCATTAATTTGCGTAAATCAAGAAATTAAACATTAAATGCCATAAGCTAATAGAAATCTAAAAACAAATATAACATCCCCCGTATAAATTTAAAAACACATTCTAAGATCCCGTAAACTAAACTTAAAACACGATCTAAGATCCCCTAAAGTGACAAAACTTACCTAAAAAATCCCAAAAAATTCTACCACAAACTAACGAGTGATGCGATTAGTTTAAATGCTCAAAAAATAATAATCCATGATCTATTAAACAACGAGCACAAATCAAAAATAAAAAGTAATTTAATATTGTTTCAACACTTTCGCCACATTACTATGCCTTGAGATGACAAAGTTACATTTGTGAAAAACACTGAATTATATAAAAACAACGGAAAAAAGGCTTAATTATATGCAAGTTTCAACGAATATATTTTAGTTAAAATAATCGCATCATTATCTAAAATGTAATTTGATATTGCTACTTTACATTTCATTTTCAGATCGGGCATAATAAAAATTAAACTGATCATGAGGAATAGAAATAGTTCCTTAAAACAAATATTTCTGACAACAAAAATGAATGAATGATCTGTGCTTTCATCCTTTATATATATTTTTTCTACATTTTCAATAATCTCAAACGCTGTTAAGATACTCAATAAAGCAAGATACTCGCCTTGAGGTTACCAGTAGACTTGTGACGTATATGATTGACCTGAAACGGGGTGATGGTCATCAGCTTGGGGCTGCCCAAGATGCCAAAGGAGCGAGGTCGGTTAGCACCAAAGAGGGAGACGCGGAGAGAGGCACCCTTGGCTCCATTCTTGGAGTACCAAGGGTTGGTCGCTGGACGGATCGTTGGCTGCTGGTTGCTGTAGAGTGTGTCAAAGGTCGCGATTTTCAGAGGGAGTCGGTTCCGGGGACCCAACACCTTGTGGAGCGGTACCATTATGGTCCAGTTAATTAAACTTTCTTACGAAAACATAAGCTGCACGAGGCAGAGTGAACACCTATAAGATGCAATAATGAGCAGAGCTGCGCCTGAAATGATGGCGGAGGAGGGCAGCAAGGCTATAAATATGAGGTCAGGACTGGCCCCTCGCTGCCGATAGCGGCCACTCGAGCGAAAGTTGGGAGGAAGTGTCGTACCTGGGGCGCGAGGTCACTGTCCATCAGGGGGAAGTGACGTTAAACTTCGTTATCATAACTCACAACAGTCTCGACTTGGTCCAGCAGATTATCTATATATATCCCTCTCCGTCCTCCTTCGTATTCTGATGTTGCAGGGATGAGGCCGCCAGCGGCCAGAGGGACTCGCGAAGGTCACGCAGACAAAGTTAGACGCAGTACCCATAGGAGTTGCTACTTGGCGTACGACAGGAGCTGAGCTGTGGTGCAGTGTGGTGGCGACCTTTCCTGTGCTGCCGTATATAAAGCAAGCCCGGAGCACGAGCCCGGCGCGCTATGGAATATTCCCAAGTGTAACTCACCTCACCGCTTCTCGCCCCGCCTCCTTTAACCAATACCGCCCTCATTATTTACCTGCAAGAATCATCAGTCATTTAGAACAAGTAATATCAAACAATATTTAACCCATTTTGGAGATGATAATATGAATACTGTGAGAGGGTTTACTAGTGAAAATATACCCACTTTAATATGCCGGCATTAAGAAAAAAAGAAGCGTGTGGCACCGAGCCCTCCACGCACTGACCAACCCAAAAAAACTCGCCAAGTCTGTTGTCAAGTGAAACGCCAACCTACGTATAGGAAAGTTTTTATATTATTTCGGGAGAGGAGAGGCACGATCTGAATTTATAACGGCTTCCCACACTATGAATAAATATACAAATGATAAAAAAAGAATTATTGATATAATTTAAGGAACGCTGGGATACCGTGAAGCCTATAACATGTAGTCAATTAAGTCCGACAGCCTTATTCGGTATCTCCGACTCTCCTTTGTTACCCAATCAGTATTTTATGAACCAAGAAGGTTATCAGAGGAGCTGTGATAGAGCGCTGGTGTTTCCGGAAATGGAAGGTGGGAGAGAAGGAGGGTGGACACGAAATAATATAATCAATGCTATATTTTCGCCTATAATAAAGTATTTTCATCAACGATAAAGTTGCAATGTACATCAATTATTGCCTTGTGTATTTATAGGGGTTTCTTCTATATAAAATTTGTCTCGGAATAGTAGTCGGTCATTAACATATTCCATAAAAATTAGAACTTATTTCTAGTGAGATCAGTTATAATAGATTTATATAATTTTGAAAAATAATTTCTTTACAAATTATGCAGATTTTCATATCATTTCAAGAAAAATAAGTATAAAATTTAGGGGTTTAAAGTTCATGTTCTGTGATAATGAAGCACTTGTTTACTGAGAATTATACTATTGTATATAAGGTAGTATTGCCTTGTAAAATTTATGTATAATATGATTTATATTGTATTTTCTTAAATAAAGATAAAACAAAAAGATTTTCATATCAAAAGTTTTCATAAAATTCATAAAACTTCAGTCATGGACTATATTCAGGACACAAAACTATTGTTATTGCCTTAATAACGCTACGGAGGTTGTAGACCTTCATAACCCTCCAGAGGTTGATAGGCTTTAAGCAACTCTCAACATTTCATTTTGCATTTCAACATTTTCTTCCGCAATAAGAAGAAAACTTGCTGGATTGTTCATCATGTCACTTGTACCTAGACGCAGCTGGGACTCTCAACATGTTACAAGTTACAGACGCAGAACTAAACAACATGAAAGGCGGACGTCCAGATGTTAATCCCAGCTGATGTGAAAGGGTAAGATGGGGAGAAAGGAAAAGGTTAAGGCATGAGAAGGAACATGTAGCTGAGTATTACGAGGTGGAGGGCCCAGAGTTGGGGGCTTGTGTTAAAATATATTATAATTAATTTTGTCGTAGACAGGAAACGTGTGTGTATACACACACACACACACACACACACACACACACAGTGTGTGTGTTTATGTGTATGTGCGAGTGCGCGAGTTGAATATTGATTCTATTCTACAGATGGAAAAACAAATATATCATAGTTTTACATTATTTTTAACCCCCTTTTATAGTTCGCTAGGATACAGGTGGTGGAGGCTGGCTACAGGTGGTGGAGGCTGACTACAGGTGGTGGAGGCTGACTACAGGTGGTGGAGGCTGGCTACAGGTGGTGGAGGCTGGCTACAGGTGGTGGAGGCTGACTACAGGTGGTGGAGGCTGGCTACAGGTGGTGGAGGCTGACTACAGGAGGTGGAGGCTGAACTACAGGTGGTGGAGGCTGGCTACAGGTGGTGGAGGCTGGCTACAGGTGGTGGAGGCTGACTACGTGTTATATTGACTGGCAGTGGAGGTTGACTACAGATGGTGGAAGATGGCTACAGGTGACGGAGGAAGGCTACAGATGATGGAGGCTACAGCTGGCTACAGGCGAATGAGGAAAGCAACAGATGGTGGAATGCATCATATACGCTTGCCACCTCGAGTTGGCTGTGTCACACACACACTGGTGAAGTGTTGACGCTCGTTTGGACAAAATACCTCACCTAGATGCTCGTAAGCTGAGATAATGATCACTACCTCGGCTCTGAGGGCGGTAACATACACACAAAATACTGGATTAACACATTTTCATTCATAGGCGAAAGACGGACAATTAAGATGACCGAATAGATATAATATCATAGGGTTATATTAATTATGGGCTGATCCTACCATGGACTGACCCTACCATGGGATGTGCGGTACCCACCAGACGGTACCTATCAATTATTGCTAAACCATACACCAATACCCGTTATTATTATTATTTGTATTATTGTTGATTATAATAGTTTTGTTACCGTAAATAATTTATTATTTCACTGTACACCAGCTTACTTATTGCAAGATGTCTCCCGGACGCAACAATAACAATACCTGGAACCTGCCACTCCACAACCCAAGGTGTGGTCACAAGGGTCGAGTATTTACACACACACATGCGTTCCTCGCTGGGGTGACCGGGAAGAGTGACTGTGGGAGTGCTGGGGGATGGAGGGAGGGTTTGGAGGTGGCGGGAGGGTTTGGGGGGATGGAGGGAGGGCATGGGGGGATGGAGGGAGGGTTTGGAAGCGGCGGGAGGGTTTGGGGGGATGGAGGGAGGGTTTGGAGGGTGGAGGGAGAGCTGGGGGGATGGAGGAGAGGCTTGAGGGATGGAGGGAGGGGTAATGGATGGATGGAGGGTATGGGGGAGATGAAGGGAGGGTTTAGGGGTGGAGGGAGGGTTTGAGAGGTGGAGGGAAGGCTTGGGGGGGTGGAGGGAGGATAATGGATGGATGGAGGGTATGGGGGGGACGAAGGGAGGGTTTGGGAGGTGGAGGGAGGACTTGGGGGGATGGAGGAAGGGCTAGGGGGTGGAGGAAGGGCTGGGGGGATGGAGGGAGGGCTGGGGGGATGGAGGGAGGGCTTGAGAGGATGGAGGGAGGGAACAAAGAGGCAGGTGAGTTTATATCTTGGTGATAATCTTCCCACTTGTGTATCGTGGTCCGCGGTGCCAAATATATAAGATATTATGAAATAAGCAGTTGAGATTGAGTACATTACGTACTTCAAGGGGGAGTAAAAGTATCCTGAGCAACACAAGGGGTCGAGTGAAGGGTGTTCTAAGCAATACAAGGCGTCGAGTGAAGGTGTCCTGACCAACACAAGGCATTTGTTTATATTCACTATATTATAACGAACATCTATGCATTTTGTCTTGTGATCAGATACACGTTTTAAACTTTATGTTTTAAAGTTCATTATATAATTTACTTTATAAGTAACGGAATTATTATCTTTTCTCAAGGTTACCTTTGTTCACGTAATCTGTCACTTATCCACTATACTGACAGGTCCAAGTCATCATGGAGCACCTTACTGTTCTCCGAATTTAAGAATTTAAGAGTCTCCCATCTTAGTATCATCGGCGAACTTGCTTGTTTCTGCTATTAGTTTCTTCATCTGGGTCGTTAGTTCAAATAGTGGGCCCACATGGAGAAGAAACACAGTTCCATGTGTAACTCTACTTATCACCGATTCCCATTCATATCATGCCATATTTATGTCAAATTTGCATTGCGCATCAGTCAATCGCACGTTGATCCAAGAAAGAACATCAATAATCCATTACACTACATGTTGAACAGATCTCAAACCCTGTCCACGGAGACAAGAAAATATATATACACGTGTTGGTTAGCACTGTATATAAATATATGGCCTCGTCTGCGGCAGAAATTAAACTAAAAAAGAAAAAGAAAAATATAGTGTGAAAGTTTCTGAGACAGCGTCCTGTGTGGTAGGCTATCTGAGATCTAAGTCCACAAAGTCTGTCCCACTGGCCAGTATCTCGGTTTCTGTACTAATCAGAGAAATGGGTGGAGGACGTCTAAGTATGTAAACAGTATGAAGCACGTGGGTATAATTAGGATAACGGTATGGCGCAAATGGGTATTATTAGGCTAAAGGTTTGGCGCAAATGGGTATTATTAGGCTAAAGGTAGGATGCAAATGGGTATTATTAGGCTAAAGGTAGGGTGCAAATGGGTATTATTAGGCTAAAGGTAGGGTGCAAATGGGTATTATTAGGCTAAAGGTAGGGCGGAAATGGGTAATCCTTTCCCTAGAAAGGGTTACAGAGGCACATAATCGGTTCAGGAACTATGGGTTCAGTTCCTGAACCGATTATGTGCCTCTGTAACTAAATACCGAGTCCTGAGCTCTGAAAAATTCATTATAAATTATTGAAATTGAAATATTGAAATTCTTGCAAGACAGGATCAATTATAACATTTGGGGCTCTGTGATGATATGAAACATTGATTTACTGAGAATTATATAAACTATATGCGGGCGGCTAAAAATGCGCCCGCTAAAATTGCGGGCGCTGAGCTTAAGTATGACATTGGTTTTTCCTTATCACGTCAAGTTCTTGCTCTACAGCATACACCCATTTTCGATCAATCGCTATAAAAAGGTATCCAGTTAAATTAAAATGATTTCCACAATCACCTCAATTCTATCCTTTTAATTTGATGTAAAATACCTTCTTGTTGACCAAGTAAAAGGCTAACCATTTCAAGATCCACACATATGATCAAGTTATGGCCATCGTATTTCAGTAACTCGAGAAAGGTTTTGATGTATCCATATTCTTCTTTAAGGTGTACACAATGACCAATGGAACTGAACCATGTGAATTTTCATTATAGAGTTAGACGTACTTTAGGCTCCTTTTGGAACTATCGAAAAACAATACCACCTGGGTATCTTATCTTGAGGTTATCTTGAGATGATTTCGAGGCTTAGTGTCCCGCGGCCCGGTCCTCGACCTGCCCTCCTTTCTGTTACACATCCCCAGGAAGCAGCTCTTAGCAGATGTCTAACTCCTAGGTACACATTTACTGCTAGGTGATCAGGGTGA